ATGCGCACTCGGGCTAAAAATCGACTTAATTCAAAATGAAATCGGCTCACGAAAGTGACGTACTGTCCCGTTTTCTGTTTTGGGTCCTCTGGCTTAGGCTATTAGGTCAGGAGAGGAAACTTTTAATTAACAATTTTCATGACTTTTGAAACCTTAGGAAAACTTCCTGCCCTCCTAACCTACCAAAGGACCCAAGGCCCAGTTTTTTCCTTCTTTGGGAAAGGGTGGGGGGGAATCCAAAATTTAATTGGAAAATAAATTTCCATTTTGAATTTAATACTGCCACTTAATGTCAAGTTGGAGTGTTGCGCACTTGACATTAAGACTGTTGACTATGATGGGATATTCAGTGTGGTGATCTAATTGGGGGGGGGGGGGAGGGAGGTGGCAAAACCCTTATGCCTGCACGTTGGGTTGTGCAATATTTTTGTACAAGAAAACGGTTACATTAAACAGCGGAAGCTTTTTAACACATTGGCCGCCAAATACATTCTTTACAGTCTTTTACTGCAATACTCGTTGTTGTTGTTGTTGAAGATTCAGCTACTGGGAACGAGGCTGCAAGTAGCACGGGCCATGGTGAGCCTGTGGTGGAACTAAGAAACACTTAAGTGATGCTTCTGTCTTGTATTCAAAACTTACGGCACTGTAGCGTGTAAACTTGATCTCTTGACTTCTGTGAAATATGTTTTTAAATACATTAAAAGCTATTGAGACGAGGGAGGGGGGGGGATGGTGTTTAATACTTGTATGGTTGTCCACTGATACTTGTTCGTCTCCACAGCCAGTAGCACTCCGCGGCTCACGGGGAAATATGTACTTAGCAGTGTGCATTTGAAAACTTTTGTCTTTTGTTAATAGGCTTCAAATTTGTTCCACATCTTTTTGTTTTGTTTTATATAAGCCTGACACTGCCAGTTTTCCCTGAACCATCCGCAAATAGACTCGCGCCCTCACCATCAGTTTACAAACTCCACAATCAAATTTGCAGGTGACACTTAATTAAGATTTATGGAAAAGTGGGAAATGGAAAAAGATATTGAGGCCTTACAAAGAGATGAACATAAGCTCCACAAATGGTCTGAAGACCGCATATGCTTTTTAACATAGACAAATTAAAGAGCTTGCATATGGGGCATAAGAACCCTCGTCGCACCTCCCAAATTAACATTACCTGGCAGCAGAATGATGCGGAAAAGGACCTTGGTCAGAATCCATCATTCACTAAAAGTTGCGCTACAAGTGGGAGCGACAGTTAACAAAAAGGAAAAAAAAGCAGCTAACCAAACCCTGGGAACAATAAAGCGTACATTTGTCTTTAAGGAAAAAGTGGTTATTCAACTGTGTAAATAAATCTGTGCTGAGCACCTACTTGGATTGTTGTATCCAAGCATGGAGACCTCTTCTTTAGAATGACAGCCTTTTTGGGAGAAGGTTCAACACCAGGCAACAAGTCATTCCAGAACAACGTAGACTCTTATACCAGGAACGGTTGAGGACCTCAGGGCTAACTACACTGCAAACCCGGCATGATAGGGCGGATCTCGTCGAAATTTTAGAAATACTGTACTGAACAATTTGGAGGATGTTGATCCAGACAACCTCTTCTGAACGTCAGATGCAACACAAACAAGGAACAAAGGTTTAATGCTCAACAAGCCACAATATAGGATTGAGAACAAGATGTGCTTCTTCATCCACAAGGTTATGGAACCGCCTACTCTCCGTAACTAAATGCCAAAACTCTCTTAAATTTTCACATCTGCCGCAGGCTTCCTGTCCTCGTCGAGGCCACTAGTGTTAGCGGCCCTCGGGTAAATTTAAGTCCGAATTACTGCTAGGTGAATATGGGCTCGAACGCAGACATTATTGTTGACGATGAGTCAAGCGAATGCTCTCGGTCTCTGCCAATTTGGGTCAGGTGAAGCGAGACGCCCACGGACACAAAGTGAACATGCTCACCTTTAAGGATAACAGACTCCAAATACTGGCATTGTTATCAAAATAGTTGGTTGCCTCATGAGAGGCCACAATAATCCTTCTCAAATCCCTGAGGGTCAAATAATTTATTAAGAGTATTAATAATCCCTCGTCTCGCTGTACGAAGTATCCATTCTTCAAACCAATTTACAAACGAGGGCCTGGCTTCATAATTCAGATTTGTATACCCCTCACAACACCACATATCACTCTAGATAACTTTCCCATGAATTTTGTTTACCAACAAATGAGATCTGAATCACTGGTGATTGAGGACGAATGACCAAACACCAATTTACAATGAATTAGAAGACATCAATCGGCTTACCTTTACTCGTATAACTAAATTACTGCAGCGGTAGTGTGTTCCTTGACATACGTTGGTTTACCCTAAGTGCTGGAGATAAATTCTCGTGCGCCTACTGACGGCGGCGGCGCCGTCAGTAGTTCATAGGGCGCTAGTACCTATACATTGTCACCTGGCTACGTTGTCACCTGGCTACGTGTCACCTGGCTACGTTGTCACCTGGCAGTAGCTGCCTCTCACAGTAGTACTGAAACACCAGTACCGCTCTTCATATACTTATTTTACCGTCTCTCTCTTTCTGATTTTGGGATTTTTACTCGACCATTGTTATTTATTCACACTAGTGTTCTCGATGTCTTCAAAATGCATCCCAAGGTTGCCAGTACAGTCTAACCATCCCCTTCATATAGTCTAGGGAAGGGCACCTGCCAGCTGGGTGGACAGCGCTTCGGATTCGTAGTCCTGAGGTTCCGAATTCGATCCCCGGTAGAGGCGGAGACAGATCTTGAGGTTATCTTGAGATGATTTCGGGGCTTTAGTGTCCCTGCGGCCCGGTCCTCGACCAGGCCTCCACCCCCAGGAAGCAGCCCCTGACAGCTGACTAACTCCCAGGTACCTATTTACTGCTAGGTAACAAAGGCATTCAGGGTGAAAGAAACTTTGCCCATTTGTTTCTGCCTCGTGCGGGAATCGAACCCGCGCCACAGAATTAAGAGTCCTGCGCGCTATCCACCAGGCTACGAGGACCCAGATGGGCAAAATGTTTTTCCACCTCTGATGCCCCCGTTACCTAGCAGTAAACGGGCACCTAGCTGCTCCCTGGGGAGGGAATGGGGGGTGGAGGCCTGGTCGAGGACCGGGCCGCGGGGACACTAAGCTCTGAAATCATCTCAAGATAAGGTAGGGCCCCCACCCACGTGCGAGGGCTCCACACTTGGGTGGTGGGCGGCTGGGGGGGTGACACACCTCCTACACTTAGCTCATACTCACCACTAAGGCTTTACACCGCCTGGATAGTAGCTCGATCTTCTACAAAGCAAAAATCTTACTTTAGCTTGCATGGACCAAAGATGTGGAGTGTGACTATTGATTCAGGGGCAGCGTCTTGACTATAGGTATACTGTTAACTTGATGCGGACTGGGCTTGGGTATGAGCACCAGAGCTTTTGGCCACTGAAAAGTAGACGCTATTCATGTACAGTAGCAGGGTTCATGGTTCTTTAACGATCCAATTAGAACAGGCTTACCCAAGCACCGTAATCTTATTGAGGGATGGCACCACTGCCTATATGTGTGGCACCACTGTGGTTTAAAGGTTACACATCATCTTGACCTCCGCGCCAACACCCACTTAATTTTCTAAAACAGGCTAACACGAGAGACTTCTAGATTAATTCCTATCGTTAATCGGGGCGATTTGTCTTGCGTGACGAGGCCCATAATCCTTGATGCTGGTAATAGGGTCATTAGTTCGAAGTCCAATAAGATGGGGTATGAACTAACACAAGGGGGATGATTGCCTAATCCGGGCCACTTTGTGTGATCATCTCATGGTATGTTAAAAGTGGCGTTGGTGGAAAATTCGCTCCGGCAATCACGATGTAGTTTTACCGGAGTTTCCCCTACCGATGATATTCCGTCCAACCCGTCCTCTTAAAATTATGTCGCTTTTCGCTCGTTTACCCATATGGCCAAAAATGGACGTAATTTGAAATGAAATCGGCTCACGAAAGTGACGTCCTGTCTCGTTTTCTGTTTTGAGTCCTTCGGCTTACCGAGTTAGGTTAGAAGAGGAAACTTTCAATTAATGGTTTTCATGAAGTTTTGAAACCTTAGGATAATTTCCTGCCCTCCTAACTTACCAGAGGACCCTTAATTTGCAGTTTTGGAAGAAAAAAATCCAAATTTTATTTTAAATTTTTAAATTACGTCCATTTTCGGTCATACGGGCAAACGGCCAAATTCAGACGTAATTTGTAAGAGGACAGGCAAGCTCGGGAAGACTGGCCACCACTTCAGACCTGAAGTGTGGAGATGTTAGCTTCCTGGTGTAAACACAGGCCTCTAACATCCATTCCAGTGGCTGGACAGTATTGTCTCATCCCTTGTAAACATGTTCCCACCGCCCACACGGTCAACATGCAGTTTCCTTCGTGCAGTAGGTTGACCAATCGCAAAATGCCGTTCCCACCGGCTGACGGATTCATACGAGCTCTTATTAGGACGTAAATCTGCTGCTTTCACATGTTTATAAACCTCTTGAACTTTCCTCCCACGTCATCTGGATCTGGTATATTCTTACTGGCTTGGCCAAGTGACTCACTCTGGCACTCGACTCGGCCACTACAAATTAAGACCAATTCTCCCTGCTAATACTGGTCTTAATTTTAAATTTTCAGCTAAAACTCACTAAATACGAAATTTGATGAAAGCCTAACATTACTGGTGTAGGTGATTACAAAAAAGTTAACCAGAGAACTGATGATAAAGATGCAACATTACAAAAATAATTGCCGAAAATCTGCAAAATAAGACTACAACCTAGGACCAAAAAGTTTTGAAGCGGAAATTCTGCTTTAAATGTTTTGATCTCATCATAAAAGTCTTAAAGATTATTAATAGATTAAATATAATTTCACCATAAACCTTATCAACCGTAATAAAATGACAAAAATTAAAATAATCCAGCCGCTCTCTCTCTCTCGCCCGCCAGCATGTCGAAGGAAGCCAAGCTGAAGGAGGCGGCGAAGGAGACGCTGAAGACTACGACAGACCCGCTGGAGAAGCTCCGCAGCCACTGCCTCTCCCAGGGCTACACCGGCATCCTCTCCCTCGGCAGGTAAGTTACAGAACAACTTTTGAATTGCACAATTGTTTGATTTCAGTATGCACGATGTTCTTGGACAATATTTTCCAATCAGCCTAATGTATTAGCTGCGACATTAAAATAATTGTTTTATTTGATTTAAGCAGAAGTAAATTCTTTCCTTGTAAGTCGATGTACTTTAATAAGCCACTGGAAGGGTTCAAGTAGTTAGACAGCTTCTTGGCGGTCACGCCACAATTCAACAGCTTCACTAGTCACTCTTGTTAGGACGACCCGGAACCGTAGAGAATCTCCGTCTGCAAAGCAGTCTTGCTAACTATATAATGTTGTAGCTGTTACTCTTACTGTGATATTTGACATGTCATGAAATAAATTTCATGAAATATGTATATTAGGCATTCATCAGTCTCAGGAGACTATGGAGCTGTGCTCTGGTTGTCGGTCTGGAGTGACCTCTCCAGGGCGCAAAGCCAGGGAAGGTTCATATGGAAAAGTTGTCACCCAAGCCTAAAGTGACTTGATACTGGCAGGCTGGCCTGAAAGTTCATCATAAGATTGTTTTTCCACTACATAAATTCTAATATTTTTAATAGAAGCATGTCCTCTGCTGTTGGGTCTAAAAAAAAAAATAACAAAAATAATGGTCAAATGTTATGAATAGCCTTAGGTGGGAGTTTTGATATTAACAAATTGCTACATTTAGTATATGCAAACCTGCCCAACCACTTGGTGAACGCTTGATACAAAATTGAAGTACTAATGGTTTCAAGTGATGTATAATGAAGAAGGGCATTGGCTGATTTATACTAGTTTTAGCTACAAAAGATATTGTATTTACCACTTAAAAACGTTAAAGTACAAAATGGATGAGGAAATAAATGAAATTTGTTACAAAATTAAATATCTCTTACTCTTAGACTGGTTGAGAGAAGTACAGCATTTAATCATATTTGGAAGGTAATTCCACAGCTTGGGACCCTTAACCAAAGCAGGCATTTAATACAAATTGAGTTCCTCTCAAGGAATATCAAATTCATATTTTTTATTTTGGTGGCCATGACGGCTGTTGCAACCCTCTAGGGTGCGTTTAGGTCAGGATTAGTATTGTAATTCAGAGTTTATAGTTTGTTTCAAACATGCGTGTGAAGTAATTTGATATTTAGCATATTCAGGGACTTCAGTAAGGGTGCTGAATGCAATTTGCGGTACAACTAGTCTCCTTCCGCGACAACGGCAAAAAATTGACATCTTATAACTCTTCTCCTCCAGGTTGTTCCGCCGGCTGGATAAGGACCGCTCATGGACGCTGTCCAAGGAAGAGCTGAGCCGCGGAGTCGGTCAGTTTGGCTTGGACCTCTCTGATGGGGACATCAACAAGCTCTTCTCCAGCTTCGAGAAGGATGGTCAATCTGGCATCAACTACGAGGAGTTCCTGGAGAGTCTGAGGGTAAGGAAGAACGACTGCAAGTTAAAGAATGAATACAGAGAAAGCGCCGAGATGGAAAAGTGGAAGAATATAAACGGAAGCACAGAATGGTCATTTCATAATTTCAGATTAATAATTCACATGTATTGTGTTGCCATGTGTCACTGCATTTGAGGAAATTTAATTTTGAAAAAGCTAAATTGACAGATCAATTAAACATTAATTTTCAGATACCTAATAGACTATTTTCTTCCTAGCCCGAGATGACGGAGCCGAGGAAGAAGGCCGTGGAGGCGGCATTCAAGCACTTGGACAAGACGGGTGACGGCGTGGTGGGGTTGGAGGACATCAAGAGGAAGTACTCTGCCAAGACCCATCCGAAGGTCATAAAAGGCGAAGCCACAGAGGACGAGATTCTCAAGAAGTTCCTCAATTTGTTCGAGACGAACACCTCCGTCGATGGCAAGGTTTGGGACATGTTGATTTTTTAGGCATTTCTGAGAATTGTTGTATCTTGGTGTGTGAAACCCGTTAAAATAGAATTGACATTAGAACAAAAGATTAGCATAGGTGGAACAAGAACAAAGGAGCACAGGTGGAAACTTAATACCCAAATGAGTCAGACAAATTAAAAAACTTTTTCAATGGCAGAGTAGTTAATAATTGTAATATATTAGGAAGTGATGTGGTGGAGGTAGACTCTATACACAGTTTCAAATGTAGATATGATGGAGCCCAGTAGGCTCGGGAATCTGTACACCAGTTGCTTCACAGTTGAGAGGTGGAACCAAAAAGCCGAAGCTCAACCCTCGCAAGCACAACTAGGCGAGGCTTCCGGGAGTGTCTCGCTGAATAAAGTTACGGGTCTTGAACCACCTATCAACACCGCTTCCCTCTGCAATAATCCATCCCAATACCAGCAATAAAATGTCTGGCATCCCACCCAAACACCAACACACCCTTACAGCCAATGTACCAGCGAATTCCTCAACCAGCCGAGCTCTTGATACAATGCCTGTTATCCCTGGGAAGGGCAACATGTAAAACCCCAAAACCTTCTCTACCTGGCACCTCCATTTAAGTGCTACTCATTTCAATCTGACTTGAGTGATAAATGTGTTAGACTCGTATGTTGGTTTTAGTAAGGTTATGTTCAATGTGTTTTAAAGACTTCTTCATTGTTAAATCTCAGTGGTGTTGTGTGATTTGGTTTGGAACTCTACACTCTGGTAATGTCCCGATTGTCTGGCATTCCTTCACAGTGCTGACAGTTCCTCTTATGGAACCTGTAAGCATATCTGCCACGTATGAGTATCCAAGCCTAGTGTGGCGTAAATGAAATTGTTATTGCTTTATTGCTTCCTTTCATCAAAGTGGTTCATAGTTGGTTGAAATCGTGTGCCACCTCAGATGCTAATGTTGCAGCTGCTGTGTTGTGGTCACTGTACACCTCTTGCATTGTTCTCTATTCATTTTGTTAATCTATGCTAGTCTCTGGTATATGAATTCCTACATTCCTCCTCTTGGTTGAGAAGTTTTACTGCTTCATCTGTAATATCATTCCCTGGTATTCCTACATGACTTGGCACCCAGCTGATTTGTATTCGACAACCTTGAGATTTGAGTATTTGTATTGTCATATCATTTGTGGTCAGATGGATGTTTTCACACATGTGCTCTTGTTAAAAGGTTACATTGGCAGTTCTCGAATCTGTGTGATAATGTGTTGTTGATGTTCAGCAGGAGCATGTTCAAAAGTTTTTGAATGGTTAGCAGTAATGTCTGTGAAGGTTGACACCCGTTTGACTCTCCAACTACCTACTGTATTAAACGTCTTGTTCATTAACGTGATGTATCGAAGAAAAAATAAGTAGGAGCCGTGAAGAGGATTCGAACCTATACTCTAGGTACTCCCAAGCAAACGCCTTTGTGCATTTGAAGAAAAACATAGAAGACAGACTTCCTAGACTACAAACCAGAGGGAATGCAGGCAATGTGTGAAACCCTGGTTAGGCCTCAGTGTAAGCCTCAGGAACCCTAGAGGATTCAGTTGAATCCCAGGTTGCATTGCTTTTGATCATGTCGTGGTGTAGTGGTCTGAGTAGTTTGCTTGGAAATACCCAGAACATAGGTTCGAATCTTTCTTATAGTTTCTACTGATTTTCTCAAACTTCCTGTGTTAACTTTATCTCCATATTCTTCTCTTCCGGTCTACCGTTCCATCCGTGAAGCTGTTAAATGCTAATTTTACGTCTATATTCACCTTGTGCAGTGATGAGACGTTTTTCGTTGAAGAGCCATAATCTTAATATGATGCTAAATTTCTACAGTGTTTACATAACTAAGTCTACATGTATTTCGTCGCCCTTCTTGTGATTGTATTCGTGATCGCTATTGTGTTTGTTTATTCTACAGTGGAGTCCACATGCCGCTATTAGCTCTTCCGTCCCGTGATAGTGCTCCATTGATTTTATCTTTAAGTGAATTGTTTCTTACAGCAAACCCTGTTTTTCCTAATTTCAACCGCTGTTAGTTTGGTTTCCAGCCATAAGCTTAGTATTTTAGTCCATCTGGGTGCTTCTAGTATGACTCGCTATGCATCGTTTTAAATAATCTCAACCTTTTTCTCCTCTGTCCAGGAGAAAGAATGGGCAAGACAGTCCCTGTGTAATCGACGAGGGGACGAATGGCATGTCTGTAAAACATTCTTAACACTGTCCCTCTTATAGACGGGGCCCTGAGATTGCTGTCATTATATCCAGTTTGGATGTTGCTTTCTTGAGATACTGAATTTGTCTGTTGAATGTTTAGTGCCCTTATATCCACCAGACAAGGGTTAAGCAAACGCAAGTCTCTGATCCACACACATATATTCTAAAGCTGTACAAACTCAAGGAGGGTGCGAGAGAGCATCTGTTCGGGTTTTGTTTGCTTGTTGATCCTTTGTTGGTCGGTTGCCTCTCTTGCTCCTCTGCCGTTTTCTCTGACCTCCGCCGTGTTGTAGGGGGTACTGAAGTCAATACAGTACTCCCCCTTCCTCTCCAGACGGAGGTAGCAGAGTCCAGGAATCGGGCAAGTCGGTGCACTGTGCGTCCCGTACGAGTAGTGCAACCCTCCATGTTGACGTCACCATCACTGTCGTCCATGCCATCAGCAGCAGGCGCTGGAAGGCTCGGATCTGGAGATGGTACTGGTAGATGAAAGAAATCAGTAGGTACATCTTCAGGATGAGGGTCCGCTGCCGGTGGGGATTTGGTTTGTTGGTGTGGGTACCAGACCACCACCACCACCACCACCACCACAGCAGCAGCTGGGATCGCCACTGCTAGCGTGGCATCGAAATGTGCTGTTTTCACCCGATCGATCGAGCCAATCACTTCAACACCCCGACGGTCGATGGTAATGGTTTTCAGAATCCTCAATAGCACAACACCCGGAAAGGTTCCTCATATGGGTGCTGTAGCTGCTGACGCACCGTGTCAACCCTCAGAAACACATGGCTAGTGGAGAGAACGTCCTGGGGTACGTAGGTAGGGCTAGGGCGACTCTGCGACATCGTCCTCCGAAGCCGCTTCACGAAGGCCGATGTGTTGTAGGGGGTACTGAAGTCACTACAAATGCCATTTTAGAATCTATAATATATTACACAGTGTTACACAAAACTCGGGTCAATGAAGATTAAAGTCTTGAATGCGTGAGTACATGTCTGGAGCGTTGCCACAGTTTCATTGCCTTTGATTTCTTTTCCGATAATTCTAGCCCCGAGATGCTGCATTCGGATGTTACTTGATCTAGTATCCTTGGTGCTTTTTAATAGTGAAGGCCTAGTGGCAACTACTGCTATGTCACCATAGCCTACAGTTTAACCCATTCTGCCAATGTTATGGTAATGAGATCTTCTATAAGGAAGTTAGAGACTAGGGCTAAGGAGTAATCTACGAATATACTATACCATATACACAATAAACCAGACCAGTGGTGCCCAACTCTGGTACCTTAAACCCATAAGGACTCATTAGCATAGAAATCATACAAAACAATAAAGCAGAAAAAATTCTACAACTTTCTAGCAGCAACCCTAATGTCGTTTTCAAGGTCATGGCTGCACAACCCTTGCTAACACACTTTAGGCCACAAATTGGAGTCTTCCATCCGGAATATGAATGCATAGTGTTAGTGTAGTATCATCCTATAATATCTTCTGGGTGGAAACATTCTAACGCTTCCTATTTCACTGTCGCTTGACATCACATGTACACGTCTTGTTTCAGGTCACAAAGCAAGAGTTCTTAGACTATTACTCTGGCCTCAGCAAGGCCATCGATGAAGACGAGTACTTCGTCTCCATGGTCAACATAATGTGGGGACTGTAGTGTGGATAGTCCTCCCCACTCTGCTTGGACTCCTGGTGTTCCACTACTGCTGATCCGGACCAGAGGGGCTTGAGGTACTACAGGGTGATAGCTCCTGGCTCTCGGCGATTGTCCCCTGTGGTGGTGCAGGTCTGCCATGCTTTACCCATCCATTTATGTTGCTTCAATTAAAGAACGTCCAGGTAAAGCTTTGTGTTTATTCAAACCTATCGCAGTTTCCCCACCTTTCCCACTTGTACTAATATTTGACTTAAAAATTTTAAGTGATTTAATAATGTGAACTTCCCCACTACAGTTATACAAACGCTACTACTACAACCCCCTATACTAGCAGCATAGTATTGGGGTTGTAGCAAATGGACCCAATTCATAAACCTAAGATCCACACCAAACTGTTCCAACACCTTTAAAACAAATGCAACATTCCCTCTATAAAGTGCCTGGGACCAATCCAGGCTAAACATAGCCGCAGGAGATCTCGTATCGGAAACAAAAAACACCATTTCTAATTAAATTATCGTAAAGTATAGTAGACCCTCCTTGCTCTTGCCACACGAAGACCTAACCGGGAATGATTTGTAATACTGGTTCACGAGAGTGCGCCAAATGGAAAAAAGACAAATCGCCCTTCGGCAACATCTTCACTAACCTAAGATTCGTCGAATCACATTCCAAAAGGAGAACAATTCTGCAGGCAGATCATCGCTGTCTGGGGCTATACCTTTTCTTCAACAGACGCTCGCACCCAAAACCTCGGCAAGATCAATTTCAGAAAGTAACGATTGTGTCCAGGCGACAACACCCGAGGACAATGGTCCAGAAAACAACATAACACCATTCACCTTCCTATATAAATCAATCTCCTAATTCCTCACTAGCATAATGAAGCCTATCATCCGTACTGGACAGCACCCGCTCATCAGGTAATCTCGACCTATCCATGAATGCAGAGTTCCTATCCAACTTTAACATTTTGTTCCTTACACAACTTGATCTCAAATTTATCAACTCCAGCATCCACAAGGGAGTATAAATGGACCATCCTTGCCTGTTATACATTCATTTGGCCGAACCAGTCAGTTGCATGTCTCTGCAATAGAGATAAAGAACACCGATCAATGATGCACTCGAAATCAGCTCTCCTTCCCGCTAATATCACAACCCGTCCTCTTAAAATAACGTCGCTTTTCGCTCGTATGCGCGCTATGGCCGAAAATGGACGTAATTTTAAATGAAATCGGTTCATGAAAGTGACGTACTGTCCCGTTTTCTGTTTGAGTCCTCCGGCTTACTGGGTTAGGTCAGGAGAGGAAACTTTCAATTAAAAGTTTTCATGACGTTTTGAAACCTTGGGAGAACGTCTTGTTCTCCTAACCTACCAGAGGACCCTCAACCTGCTGTTTTGGAAAATAAAAAAAATCTAAAATATATTTTCATGTTCAAATTACGTTCATTTTCGGCCTTGCGGGCAAATGGCCAAATTCAGACGTAATTTGTAAGAGGACAAATTTGCAAGAGGCAACCCGTCCTCGACTCAAGTCCATTACATCCAGCGGTTGACCCCACAGACGCATTCATAAATTTTAACATGCTGTTCATTCAAAACAGGAATTTTCTCAAATATGAGCTATTATAATATTAGCATATTATGCACATATAGGCATAAGTTAGGTTAAATTAGATGTTTAGCTTCTGTTGACGATTATTTGTATTTGTAGTACGTGGGTGAAGCATTTACAGCGTTGTGGTTCGAACAAAATTCGTCAGTGAAGCACTTGTTCCGGAAGTGTTCGAACGAAATCAGTTGTGAGTCGTGGACACAAGAGCAGGGCTACAACTGTTGTCCAGGGCTGTGTTGAATTTCTTACGGCATGATACCAGGGTCTGTTGGTCGGTGGTGATTTTAACTGTGCGTTCAACTTTAACTATATGTTCCACAGATCTCTCTCAACACTACCCACGTCTTCTCCGCCACTTTCCATGACCCCTTTTATTCGACGGCGTTTCGACTGCCATTTCGGATCCCCCTCCCCCAATTACTTGTTTTCTCCTGGAGGTGACGTATACAACGGACGGAGGCACCTGTGCCACCCGCGTCATGTAGTGCTCTAAAAGATCGTCTGTCACCACCACAGGCGGACCCTCAACACCGGTCTATGCACACCATCTTATGATCCTCGACAGGACCAATAACCCGTACACTATGGTGCTCACACCTACCACCAGCACAACCTATACTGGAAGCAACCACACAACCACGTCTCGTGCAGCATCCTCCGACTCCACCAAAGCTTGCGTATGAACGTCTCCACCCACCCACATGGGTACTTCAACACCTTCACATCTGTAGTGAAGGTGTCCCACCTTCACCTAAGTGCCATCCTTAGTGCCAGAGGGATGGCACTCCTGTAGATCTCCCGTGGCCTGTCGTGGTAAGACACTCGCCCCGCGCTTCGCAAGCGATTTAGCCTATCTTGAGATGATTTCGGGGCTTAGCGTCCCCGCGGCCCGGTCCTCGACCAGGCCTCCTTTTTGTTACCCCCCCCCCCCAGGAAGCAGCCTGTAGCAGCTGTCTGACTCCCAGGTACCTATTTACTGCTAGGTAACAGGGGCATCAGGGTGAAAGAAGCATTTTGCTCATTTGTCTCAGCCTCCACCGGGGATCGAACCCGGAACCTCAGGACTACGAATCCGAAGCGCTGCCTAGGTTCGTATCCTGGCCGGAGAGTGCATGTTGGTTAGGCAGCACTCCTTAACAGTAGCGCCTATTCACTCATCAGTGAGTGGATACCTGGTTGCTAAACGATTTGGCGGGTGGTATTCCGGGCTAAATGGAGATTCAGGACCTGTCCGAAACGCTATGCATGCTAGTGGCTTTACAAGAATGTAAAAACATCATTGCAATGTACTCTCATAAACCCAATGTACCTTCTTGTACATATAAATAAATAATAAAAATATATACCCTGTATGTACTCTTTACCTCCACATTTACTCTGTACCACCACGTGCACCCTGTGCTGTGCTAGGATCCCGATAGTACAGACGGGTTCGTTCTCGACGCACAATCGAGAATTCCAGGTTCGAATCATGGGCGGGACAGAAATGGTTGGACACCTTTTCCTTTCATCTAGTGCCTCTGTTCACCTAGCAGTGAGTAGATACTCAGGAGTTATTCAGCTTGTTGGGGGGGGAGGGAGCTCGATATTAGCCAATCGTGTATGAATACACACTGGCTTCCTGTCCCCCGACACAATGAATTATATGTACCCTGTATCACCACATACACTTTGTACCACCACATGTACTCTGTACCCATCCTCAAACAGAAAAACAAATTGTGAAAAAATTATTAATTAATAATTACCAAAGCAATCAATTTATTAAAAAGTTCGTGCATCCTGGGAGTGGTAAGTAATTCGACCTTGTGGAACTGAGTACAGAGGACGGCACGGAGACCTTGTGGGACTGAGTACAGAGGACGGCACGGAGACCTTGTGGGACTGAGTACAGAGGACGGCACGGAGACCTTGTGGGACTGAGTACAGAGGACGGCACGGAGACCTTGTGGGACTGAGCACAGGACGGCACCCTACCTACCTTGAGGTGCTTCCGGGGCTTAGTGTCCCCGCGGCCCGGTCGTCGACCAGGCCTCCTGGTTGCTGGACTGATCAACCAGGCTGTTAGACGCGGCTGCTCGCAGCCTGACGTATGAGTCACAGCCTGGTTGATCAGGTATCCTTTGGAGGTGCTTATCCAGTTCTCTCTTGAACACTGTGAGGGGTTTGCCAGTTATGCCCCTTATGTGTAGTGGAAGCGTGTTGAACAGTCTCGGGCCTCTGATGTTGATAGAGTTCTCTCTCAGAGTACCTGTTGCACCTCTGCTTTTCAACGGGGGTATTCTGCACATCCTGCCATGTCTTCTGGTCTCATGTGGTGTTATTTCTGTGTGCAGGTTTGGGACCAGCCCCTCAATTATTTTCCACGTGTAAATTATTATGTATCTCTCCCGCCTGCGCTCAAGGGAGTACAGATTTAGGCTCTTTAGTCGGTCCCAGTAATTTAGATGTTTTACTGAGTGGATTCTAGCAGTAAAGGATCTCTGCACGCTCTCTAGGTCAGCAATTTCTCCAGCTTTGAAAGGGGCTGTCATTGTGCAGCAGTACTCCACTCTAGATAGCACAAGCGTTTTGAAAAGTATCATCATCGGTATAGCATCTCTAGTGTGAAAAGTTCTTGTTATCCAACCTGTCATTTTTCTTGCAGTTGTGACGGCTACTTTATTGTGTTCTTTAAAGGTAAGGTCTTCCGACATGAGTACACCCAGGTTCTTTACATTGCCTTTTCGTTCTATGTTATGATTTGCCTGCGTTTTGTACGTGGTTCCTGTTTTTATGTTTTCAATTTTTCCGTAGCGCATGAGCTGAAACTTATCCTCGTTGAATACCATATTATTTTCTGTAGCCCATAGAAAGACCTGATCAACATCTGATTGGAGGTTTGCCGTGTCCTCTATGTTGCCAACTCTCATGAAAATCCTAGTGTCATCTGCAAAGGATGATACAGTGCTATAGGTTGTGTTCTGGTCTATGTCCGATATGAGGATGAGAAAAAGTACTGGAGCAAGCACAGTACCCTGGGGGACTGAGCTCTTCACGGTTGATGGGCTGGATTTTATTTTGTTGACTATTACACATTGGGTTCTGTCAGTCAGGAAATTGTAGATCCATCTGCCTATTTTCCCGGTAATTCCTTTTGAACGCATTTTATGTGCAATAACACCATGGTCACATTTATCAAAAGCTTTTGCGAAATCTGTGTAAATTACATCAGCATTTGTTTGTCTTCCATAGCATCTAATGCCATATCATAGTGGTCCAGCAACTGCGACAGGCAAGAGCGCCCTGTTCTGAAACCATGTTGTCCGGGTTATGGAGATGCTGTGATTCCATGTATTTTGTGATCTTACTTCTTAGCACTCTCTCAAAAATTTTTATGATGTGCGATGTTAGTGCTATCGGTCTGTAATTTTTTGCCTCTGCCTTATTTCCTCCTTTATGGAGTGGTGCTATCTCTGCTGTTTTTAGTATGTCAGGGATAACGCCAGTATCTAGGCTTTGTCTCCACAGAATGTGAAGGGCCTGCGATAGTGGTTGTTTACAGTTCTTGATGAATATGGAGTTCCAA